GTTTATTTACCTGTGATCTAAACTGTTCGTTATAAAGAAATTAATATCATCTATTGAATTGATATCTACCATTTAATTGCTACTTATCATTAATAAGTAGGCGAAATAAATATTAGAAATATCTGCTAGAAATAAGGCAATTTTAACATGCTAAAAGAAACGTAATTAAATAACAATATTTTATTATATTCTATTTTGGAATAAAAAATAAAAGTCCTTAATCTGGATTTCTTTAAATGTCGTGGACGCCATACTAATGAAGTAAAATTACTCCTGATATTAGCTAAGCTACATGACGTATTTTTTTATTATTTATTATAATTTATGAACTACAGCCACATAGCCTAGTCAAAAAATTATAAATATTATTTCGTTACGTTGCAACAGTTACTGATTGCAGTTTGACTGAGAGATCTCAGCACTAACACAACACTTGCTTGCTTTAAGATCAATAGTATGGGGCACCTACTACACCGTCCGAAAGCACATGAAATTCCTTTGACTAAACTTGTCAGCATTCTACTCACCACACTTCCGATAAATTTTCCTTGTGACTGTATACTAGTCAAATCTTTTTCACTAGATTAATATCATATCTACTGTGTATTATTAGCTGAAAAACGCAGTGGAAAGCTTTGATCTTTAGGTTATCATTACCTAATTTACCTTCAGTCAGAGGGGTGTGCGATAGACTTACCTCTACGTGGTGCACCCTGGGCAACGTATACTCATACGATAAGTCTATTAACTGGCGGTTGACTTCTGACTTCAAACTACCATCACCCCACTGTATGTCATATTTGACTACTTTCACAGTACTCACCTCACCTTTTTTCTACCTTTGTGTCTGTCTCTTTTACATCTTTGAAACACTCTTCTGTTCCCTCCCCCTCTCGATTTTTTTTTCACTTTGATGTTCGTTCCCATCTGTGGAGCCTGAAGTCAATTTAAGTGCTAATGATAACTATCAAGATGCCTGCCATTTGGTATAAATACCTTCAGTCAGAAAGTGCACGCTGTTTGCTTGAATTTTACTTTTTAGGAGAGTTCAGAGTCATTGCTAGAAGGGGTTTTGTCCTTAATTTCCCGTATAGAACACGGTATATGATACTATTTTATTGCCCACAGAAAAGCAAAATTTGAATTTTTTTGTATCGCGGCAAATCTTCTGAGCTCTGGATGGAAGTAAGGTCTGATTGAGGATGGAAAGACGCTGAGACTAGATTCAGAATATCAGAGAAGGCCATCTCATTTCTGTTGTTACTTGAAGTGAACTTTCGTCTAATTCTTATTCCAGAGTTCAAAATTCCCAATTCGCTCCTTAGGTGACTGAATAAATTCATGTTCATAATGCAGTAAACATTTTGATCGGCTGGTTGGTTATACATTTTTTAATATTGAATTTTTAAATATCCAAGACAGAGGGGGGGGGCGTGGTAACATGGTGCCTACATGAGGGCTACATTCGTTTTATTTGACCGTGTCTCGAGTTGTTTTACCTCACACTCTTTATCTGGATATTTGTATTATTATTTGCAATAAATTTTGTATCTCGTTAGGACCGATTTTAATTTGTACCAAAACTTTTTTTCTAGGGCGGAATAATTGAAATCAAGTGTGACTGAAGGTGTTCAGGGTTGCGCAATTGCATGTATGAGCTCTAATGTTCCTATGTTATGAGGCCATTAGGAGATTTAAAGGTTCTCAATGTTTACTAATTACTGCGTTCTGATCTCTCTTTAGTGTGTTAATAACAGGAGTGGCTCGTAAATCTTGTAGGGAAATGATCTCCATCAGGAGGGCTAAAGCTAAAGTTAAGACAATACAATTTGTTCATTCGAAAGGGTCGATGTTTTTAAAAATAGTCCCAATTTTAATAAAAAGGAAATTGGTCATGGACAAGAATTTAAAAACAAGGTCAGTCAAAGTGAAAATTGGAAGGCTTCAAAATAACCTCACCAAAGAAGTCAACGTATCAGGTGTTTTTACTTCATTTGAAATCTGGAGCATTGAGTGGTACGCAATTTTTTCAGAACTAATGTAATATTCAATCTTCCCCATCTGCTTTCCAGATTTAAGAATGAATGCGCCCTCACCAAATTCGTTAACCAGTACATCTGTTTTTTTTCTATGGCTGAATCTACCTTTCGATTTACCCTATTCTTTCTACAGCCAAAAGCAAGTAAATTGACATGCACTGCTACACGCTAAAGCTCACTAAAACTCATTAATGGGAAGAACTAATTATAACAAAATAGTTGCATATTTTATATTGTGACAAAAGAAACTGCTTAACCCATGTGAAATTAGGACTCGAAAAAAAAGAAGCAATAATATTTCAAATGAAAACACACGAAATTGATTAAGTTCGTTGAATAATTGCCAAGCCAACTACCATTTATGGCTTACAGCTCCTAATTGACCTCCCTACGATTCAATGACTACCTTGAGTATCAATAAGAAATCGTCCATTATGCAAGCAAATGTTTCAGAGAAACTTGTGTCCAGACGCAGAGGAGGAAATGACTTTGTAATTTCTATTCTAAGTAAACAAATTATTCAACAAGGCCAAGAATGTCTAACCGCAAAGCAGGTAAAGAGCATGTCAGATATTACAACCGGTTTTTTTGCCTCATCAAGGGTTAAACGCCTACAATGTTAATAGTAAAGTTGATTGCCTACGGTTCGTCAACTTCAATTTCAGGTTTTAATCAGATAATAGGAATTTATGTGACGAGCCAAAGTCAGGTCGTATCAAAATTCTTTTGTTGAATTTCACCTTGATTAACTAGGCAAGACATACCGCCGGACTTCACATGCTCATGCAGTTAGGCTCGAATCACCTAGGTAAATCGAATTGGATGAAAATTTGGACCTTCATCAGTTTCAATTTTTATACAAGATCAACGATGTAAAAATAACAAAAATCTTGTATTGTTAGTGTGAAAGAAATTAATTCAGCTTTCGGAAAGCTAAATTTAGTGTTTAAAACACATACTTAAGAATCTTCTTATAAATAGACGCGATTCATTGAAGAATAATGGTTGCTTACGCACAAAGTTACTTTTTTTGCTTTTTCAGTGAAATCAATGAATCCGCTTCTTATTGGTTGGGAGAATCACACTAAATATATTGGAAAATCACCTACTAAGAAGGTGTATCCCAACCACCACCGCTCATACTTCTCAAGTGGAGAATGGACTTTAAATAGAATTCACCGTCACCAACAGCTTAAATGATCGCCTTTAAATGAGTGGGATTAAAGTACAGCATAAAACCGAGCCCTCCCGAAAGTCCTATATATCTAGGTAAGTCTATTGAGCACTCATTAGCAAATCATTCGAATGTTTATTTTACAGTCTGAAAATGTGGTTACATTGAGTCCCAAAACGTTGGCGTTTTACTCACCCTTCTCCCTTGAAGTGAAGTTTTTAGAGGCTTCTCTTAAATAATATTAGTAACAAAGAAGCAAATTTTTCATCAGAAGTACGATTTTATGGAATTATCTGCCCAGAATAGTAATGAAATAATAAATAAAATAATAAGGAAATGGGACATATCTATCGTCTGTAAAATAATGCAGTTTTGCCAATTTAGTTACCATTTTTGATCCGATAAGTATCTAAATGGCGGTATCTAAATGTGTGTGTGTGCGTGTGTGTGTGTGTGTGTGTGTGTGTGTGTGTGTGAAGTAGATCCTAATGACTTTAGAAGGGCATAATTTTGAGATCAATTGGGAATTCGACCAAATATTTAAAGTAATAATCCAAATGTCAGCAGAAATTATCTACCTGACTTCAAATTTGTAAATTGATTGGAGGTTGAGGATGGATTATGAAGTTAGGGTAAGGTTTGGAGGTATAAAAATGGCCAAAGACTGCTGAAATGATTGATTGATTGTGTAGGCCACTAAACCTGTTATTTCTGAGTCTAAGCTACTACTAAGATGTGATTGTCACTAACTATATCGTGAAGAAATCATTATCGGCATTATCGAAATAATTAGTAACTCCGCAATAAATGACTTACTGAGAGAGGAAAAAATCAGGAAAAGAACCTTCATTAAAGACCCTTTAACAACCACACAATCAAAGCTGAGTTCTTAAAAGGCAGCGAGTGGTTGTTATCTTCACTTCCCAATCTGCAATTTCCACTACCATTCTACGTGGTGCTACCTTTTGAACCTTAAATAAAACCATTTCGTGGATTTATTTAAAGAGATGGAATAATTAGGCTTAATTATTCAGTTTCTGGGTGTTATTTTAGGTGGGTTTGTTAATAGCTGCAAATGAATAAGTCAATAAGGTATTATAGTACTCAGGTATCGATAATTTTCTATCATACTTGTAAGGAAAGTCAAGCGTTTGTTAGAATAACGCTCGATTTTCTCAATGCCCTTACTACTTTGCGTTTACTTCCAAATTTCTGGTGGATGCTTGTATAATTTTATAGGTACTTAAACCTTATCTACCACAGAACCTCCATTTACTTCCTTACAGTTATCTCTTTTCCTCAAGTCCTTCAACCAGCTACGCTCTTCCTCCTGCCAATCTCTTTCCCCTTCATTGAACCACCATTTCTTTTGAGTTCCCCCTCAGAGATTACTTTCGGTTACTTTCAATTTTTCTATATTTGGAGTGGGAGTAAAGACTTATATATCGAACACGTGAAAGTGGTGCTATTAAATGAGAAGTAAGGCATAAAATAATTTAGGTTTTCAGTGAGGGAAAGATTCAATAAAAGTGAGGCAAAGCAACAAATACGTATTAAATTATACATATAAATTGATGAATTTTGATAATCCGTTGCATATTAACTTTCCATATTATTTCTTCAAACGATCAGGGCAGTTCGTTGCCACGGCAACACCAAACACATAAGAAGGTGCGTGCACACAGAACCACAAGTGAGTGAGTTGATTGGTTGGTGAAGGTTATGGAAACGCGAATCACCACGTCATAGAAGTAAAACCCCATTGAAACCGAACTTCTCTTGTACTGATGGCAGATCAGTCCCTATTTTCACGTGTCCCAAGCACGGTTCCATATCGTTCATTTCGACTGAAAGACCCCAAATTTAGTTCCCTACAGCAAAGGCGAAGACAAGTTTGTTCAATAAAACCAGACCTCCAGGTGCTTTCTTCTTCACTTATCTGTACTTCGATGACCCTCCAACCTCCTCCAGTTACTTCCTTCCGCACAAAGAACTCCAGATGTACCAGCTGTTCCCATCCACAGAAATCCTTAAAATATCCAACCCGGTCTTCTCATCCGAGGACTAATCAGATAACCAGTTTTAGCCGAAAATCTGCGTATACTCCCCCTTTACCCTCGCCTGTTGAAAACGCTCCTCAGTCTCCTCCACCTGCGAATTGTACTCCTTCGCGATTAAAAATAAAGAATTCTTTACTGCCATCAGCCTTAAGCCTCAGTAAAGAAAAAGAGAATCTCGTCATTGAATCCCCACCTTCCCGAATCTCTGACTCCTTCTCTCCACTAACAACAAGTTTTGGAACACCTGTTGGTATTCCGGCACTTTCTTCAGAGAGTGAAAAAAAAGCAGCTGAATCCCCAACAAGTCCGTGTAAATCAATATTAAAGAGACCGACAAGAGAGATGAAGGAGAGATTAGTCACAGCTCCCGGTGTGAGTGGACGAATCGGCATCCCTGTGGCTGTGTGCTTCAGTCAATCGCTCTCCGCAACTTCTCAAAAGGAGGTTCGTTTCGACGTGGAGCGTAACTCTCTGCACACCTATGAAAGAGATGTATTTGTGGTGAATGGATCTAAGATAATTCGACAGGCTAGACATATATTTCAAACAAATTTACCCAATAGAGAAAATACTTGACATTTAAACCCCCCCCCCCTCCTCCACCAAGAAAGAAAGCAGCATTTGTACACAATTTTATTTTGTTTCGTGATACTATCGTATTTTTTTGAAAATGGACCTTCTTTTATTATTAATTGGCAAATATAGGCTAATTTTAGTACGCTTTCAGCTTTGGAAGAATAAATAACTCTTTATTGAAAGACTGTGCATAGAATTTTAATCAAGTTTATTAAATAATTTAAAGGTGTCTAGGCTTCTAGGATATGTTACTGGTGATCCGATTTCTCCCTTTCAATATATCATTTAATCTAGCCAAGGAAATTAATTTTCTAATTTTATTTTTTCACATGGATCATTTATTTAATTGAAATAAGGTCTTGCTCAAGGCAGCAAAGACTCTATTTGTAATAGGGATGCCATAATTTATTTATTTATATCAAATGGCAGGCTTCACAGAGGGGAAGGAACATCAAAGCGAAAAAAAAGTCGAGAGGGGGGGGGGAGGGGAACAGAAGAGTGTTTCAAAGATGTAAAAGAGACAGACACAAAGGTGGAAAAAGGTGAGGTGAGTACTGTGAAAAGTAGTCGAATATGACATACAGTGGGGTGATGGTAGTTGAAGTCACAAGTCAACTGCCAGTTAATAGACTTTTTTGCCGTATGAGTATACGTTGCCCAGGGTGCATCACATGAAGGTAGGTCCATCGCACACCCCGGGATACCAAAATGACTTGCTAAAATTTATTTCATTTATGTCAGTAAACCTATCATCAACTGTATTTTGACTGAATTTAGCTATAAGTGGCTTGTTTGTTGTGATTCTCATTGTTCATAATTTTTAATTACCTCCTAATTACTCCAATTCCATTTGGTCTCTCTCTCAGCCTTTCTGATTCTTTTGCTTTTCAATGATTTGGCGCATAAGCTAGGTCGTATTTCTCAGGCTTCCTTTACTAAAGAAAGCAGTGTTGAATACCTCTGATATGCAGAATTATCAATGTATATTATGACTAGCTAATTAACTCCCTCACCAATTTCATTCATCCCTGCAATTACGCATTCACACTAATTAGGTCTCCTTCTTCCTACAGACTTCAAAGGACCACTGACATATAAAAAGCGTTTACATAATAGTAGGACAGAAAATTGTCGATCTCAGATTAGTTATTATATACAAAACAAGGGTATCTTCTAGCATTGCCTGGGATGTTCGTTAAAATTCGACAGAGCTCAATTGACTCTACTAATTTAATAAGTTCGGGATATTGTGAAGGCGAATTCTCTGTGATGACAAGAGGTTAAATTGTGTACTTTTATTTTTAGTTTTATAAGCACAACGAAATAAGTTTTACCTCTCGTTTTGGTACTTTTAAAAAAACAAGTCAACGAATGATGTATAAAAAAATTGGATGACTATTCAGCGCCACAAATGCGACCAAGTGCGAATAATCAGGCATTTAACTAATAGGAGATTATTTGAAAAAAATACTTAGCGTTGAAGCCCACATGATAGTTTACTAGACGTTTCCAAATAACTTTAAACTGACAAAATAAATAATTACTCGTGATCATAAATACTAGTTTTAAAGGTTATTAACGAAAGTGAATTTTAAAAGGAAGAGACACTCAATGAGGTGCAAATAGGGCATGACGAATAGCTTTTGAAAGGCTAAAGTTAAAAGACTTTTCCATATGAAATTTGAAGAGCATATCCTAAAGTAAATTATATTTCGAATTCCACAAAGCCAGAGAATTTGATGTGCAAAGATAAGTAATGGGATAAAAATTAAATTATCAAAAGAAAAGTTCCAGATATATTGACATAAACGTTTTTGTATTGTACACATTAAATTATTCTAGTTTGAATTTATGTGGTTTTTGAGGAACACGCCCAAGCACCTTTATTATAATGTTATGCAAGTAATAAAAATAAACGGAGTCATATTTATTTTGCTGAAAGACAGAAAGAAAGAATAAGACTCTTATCAGAAACATCTTATGCGTTAATAAGTGTAAAAAGGGGAAATAGCAGAGGTAAATGGGAGGCTGCATATTGGAAAGAATACGCACGTCAGTTCCATATTTCGGTTAAATTAGACAGATCTTCAACAACAAACTTGACGATTTCTTTATTTATTTTAAGCTCCTTTATTTGATTGATTACTTAAACATGGACAGTTTTCGGATTTACTTGTTGTAATATTAATTGAATCAAATTGATGTACCATAGATAACTGAATAAGGGTATATTAATTGAAAATTCAGTAGGATATGATATTAAAAATATGTAAATAACCCGTTTTGTCAAAAACGTTAAATAAATGTATGCCTATCAAAGATAAACTCAGAAAATTTTCTTGAATTGAAATCAATATCTCATAATAGATTATTTGTTGATTTGTAGGCAAAATAACAGGAATTGAAGAATTAACAGAAATCGAGCTTCGATGTAACTTTAGCTTAACATTCCATAGACAAACACTGTATCTGATGACCAATTGCTGCAATTGGACATAACAAAGTGAGCAGTTCACATTATTTTGTTCAAAGCAATGCTTGACAAAACATTGTAGCACAACTTAACTTCTTAACACCTTATCGATGAGCAGAAATAGTTGATAAATAATAAAAATCTGATGATTATAACAACGTGAATTGTATTTTAACCAATTTTACGCTTATATAAAGGTGGCGGTTCTAAAAATAATGAATCTGATTTAGAAAACCACGGTTATTCATAGTTGTAATGAAATACTCAAAAAATATAAATTGAAAATCAAAAATACTTTATTTGAAAGTATAAGAGCATAAATAATCGTGCATAAATTTTATACTAAGGAATTATATAACTATTAACGACGATATTTTATTAGTTTTAATATACCAACGACATTTATATTTTCATTCAAGGTTGTTGACGCTCTGCACGATTTCAGTTACGGACTCTTGCTCCTAGCTGTGGAATGAATGCAATAATCATCTGCCTATTAGTTTTTATTTTCCTTCGTCAAGGTATGCATCAATTAATTTAACATTAATAACTTAGCCTATGGGTTTGTTCCCGCCGTCGAGTTTGACTTGTCAAAGGACTCCAACAATGTCTACGTTGGACAGCTTTACAAACACGAATCTATCGTGAAGCTCTCACCACCTTTGAGAGCGTTTACCAATTCTGAAATCAGTCGTTCAAATAAAATCTGCGGATTTCATCGCATCGTGAAAGACGATTATCAGTTGCCTTTTGATGTGGATTTAAAGGATACTAATCTGGGTACCGGAGAGATCCGCGTTCGCAATAATGCTCCAGTGGATTTTACTCAGAATCGAATGTATACCTTTCAAATTGAAGCTTATGATTGTGATTCTCCTCCAAACTACTCTGAAAGGTTATTTGATTTGTTCTGTTGATTATTTTCAACTTCAAATTAATTACATTATGAGTAATATAATTCGAAATTTAAATTAAACAGAAATTTTTTCACAATTTAAATCTGTTTTATTGGTCTTAAAAATTGAATTTGTTTTTACTCTTCTATTTGTTCAAAACTTTTAGAGTTTTGGTAAACATTAAAATTCGAGCTGAAGATGAGCTTCGTTTTACTGATGCTATCTACAATTTCCCCGTTCCAATGTATAGTAGCGTCGGTTCAATTTGTGGCAAGGTAACCGTCATGTACGAGTCATCTTCCCCCGCAATCGAAGACAAAACTCGTCAATGTGGCTACTCACTGCTTTCTGGCACCATGGTGCCCTTCACTGTTGACTCACATGGTAAGTTCATCACATTCAATGAATTCCTACAAACAAAACATATAAATTTCAATACGACATTTATTACATCTTTTGGATTTAATTTACTTCAATTTGAGGAAGAAAATTTAAATGATTAACCACTATCTATAATCCATAGAAACGATCTAAATTGTAATACCGAAGTGAACGATTCCTTGCAGAGTTCTATTTAAATACATTAACCTCTAGAGTAATCTTTGTTTTTTAATTTACTTTATGAATACACAGTTACCATAGTCTATATTCTTGTAAACTCTGTAGTAATTTTATTGTTCATAAGAACGCCCTCTATCGTATACTTTCTGATTTGACCTTTTACGGTGTCGAAAGACTTGCAGTATGGAAACCCTAAGTTAAAACACTTGCCCCAATAATAGGCAAAAAATGAATGCAGTTGGAATTATAAGTTAAACTGTTGAAGCTAATTCAAAGAAACGAAATTTGAAAGACTAACTTGGGTCATTGTGATTGGCTAATCGCATAATAACAGAGTTAAAACATAATTTTATAAACACACTTACTGATTTCAAAACGTCTGATCAGACATCTACTGTCTCAAACTATTTACAAATATGTGTCACAAAACGGTTGATTTACTAGTGATGGGGAATTAATTTTCCTTCGATTTTCTAATTCGCAGACACGATTTTCCCAATTTGGTATACTCCAATGTAGTAAATAAGTTGATTTTCTATAAAGTTATTTCACTTTTTCCACTTAGTTGTTTGGTGCTTCAGCGGTACCTCTGCCTGCAAAGCAAGTAAAAAAATAGCATAACGTCATGTGGAGGTACAAATACATTTGTCATGAGTAAACCCTGAAATGTGATATTTTGAATCTTATCTCTTCATCACATCCTTGAGGCATGATTGAATTGCATTTTGTAAATTCTTCACATAGCGAGGAATTGCTCCACTTCCATTTGTCTCAAGAAACCTCTTCTCTTTTGGCGAATTAATTGTTGGTGCCTACGGTGGTTTAGTCAGGACATAAAATTTTCCGGAGTTAACTTAATGATGTCGCTGATGGCTTGCAATTCCTGTATAAAAAGAACATCTAATTTTGATGTGCGTTTGATGCTAAATTGGCGACGAAGGGACATCTCATCACTTAGTTTGCAAAAGATTCCTGACTTATTAATAAATTTAAGATTGAAATCGTTAAAATTGATTCTGTAAAAGTTGCAGCTCTCAAATTTCGGAAACGATTAGATGCAACCATACCCAAAATATCAATAAAAACTGTTTATGAGGCGCATGCTTAGTGTCAAATTTTTCGTCTTATCTCTCAGTCATATCAGCATTGATTCGTCATTGCATCACGACAGTTAATAATAGAACAGCTAAATGTCTGGCAATGGTTAACTTTTTAACATGAAAGTCACTGAAACATGTGTCTCTCCATGTATTTCTTATACATACTTAACAAAAGCTGATTATTTCATCCAAGTTGCATAACCCAATCTAATCCCCATAAACCAACTAAGGTTTGAAGGGGTGTTGGTAATGAGTTTGAAAGTTTTAGTATTCCCTAATTGTAAATTAAGTGCTGAATAATTGTCCTCCTTGACCACTTAAGTGACTGAGTCCTATTTCCAGCTAAGTATCTTCATTCAAAGCTCCACCAAACACAGTTTTTTGGTATTTCATAGTAGATTTTTGGCAGAGACTTGTTGTTTTGAGGTTCTCCCCTTATAGCGTGTCACCAAATTTACTTCTTCAATCCTATTGGTGCGTGCCACAAACACCTATTAAGGTGCACACACAATTGACAGCTTAAGCCCACGAACTTATAAGATGTGCGTACCCATACACTCAGAGATGAGCCAATTTTTTCCGGCACGAAGTGAGGGGAATTTCGTAAGAGTTCATTGTGTGTGCTCACAAAATCGGCTTTCTCAACTGATTGGTTTGTTCAAATTTGCAGAAATCTGTTGAAATGATTGATCTAACGTTAATTCGAATATTGCGTTCTCTCAATTACTTCAAGATGGAAATATTTGTATTAAAATATCAAATTAATCACCGTAGTTTGCATATGATTTCTTTCCATTTGCAGGCACCCAGAACTAGGTACGACTTTATGGTTCCCATTAATTACTAATAATTAAAATGTGAGAATATTAGTTTTCGAGTCATTGTAGTGTATTTTGGTGTGTAAAATGTTTTGACAACTGGAGATAATCCGGAGACTATCTGCGAGATGATCTTTCTAACACCCTCAGCATTAAAAAGGTGCACTAAAAAGTGTGTAAAGAAATAGTGCAACCATGAGAATATAAGCAACTCCACTATACTCACTTCTAAAAGGGAGTCTGTGCTGCAAATAAAAATTCTGGTGTGAGACAAAATTTTCATCACATTGGAGATGCATCTGCTGTCCGTATCAATATCCATGACAAAGAGAGAAATTATTCATAATGCAACCACGAAAGACGTCTGACCTTGATGAAGTGTGGAGTCAGCGATTTAAACAATGCCAAAATGTTTTAGAGTTGAAAGGTTATCGGCATTTTCATCGTCATTCAAAGCATTTAGGCTGTTTCTCAACATCAGAGACTTGAAATGTCTACTGACATGCTTTCAAATAATTTCGTGATATCCTTTTTACGAATAGTGCTTCATCAGTTTTCCACCTCGCAAGACTTTCTATCAGTGTGCGTTCTGGTGATTATCTGCACGAAGTTGTCCTCACATCGTTTATATATGGCCGTTTTTCTAGTAAGTGTGGAGATAGATTTCTTATTCCAGAGACGAACGTCTGCTTCACATCTGTCATTTGCTGCCAAAGCCAAATCTTTGTATGAGATAATTGGGGTTTAAATAAAAGCTAGTCGAGTGCACTTATTTGCCATCAGCTGTAGAAACTCAGACCCATCCATTGAGCTGTGCTTTGAAAAGTCTTGAAGTTACCAACATCAAGGTCGGAACAGTCTCGACAACTGTTTTAAGCAGCTTTGCTCGCATTTTAATCCTAAGTGGTTTCGACCTTAGAACTGCTCTATGCATCCACGACCTCAATCAAAGTTCACTCAACAATTGACCACATTTTGGGGTATTTTTAGAAGTATATTTCTTCTTTATGCAAAAAATTGGAAAATTGGCATATATTCTTCATCTTCATGAGCTGCACATAATTGAATTAGCAAACGAATGCCGATTATTCGCGAGGCTAGTGTCGTTGTTAGAATGCGATAAATGGCAGTGTCGTTGCATGTCATAATGTTGGGTAAAACCTTCCTTAAAGACGTTTGTTTCTTGTAATTGAGTTTTGGCATTTGTGTCGATCTTGGGGATCTCTAAGGTTATAAAAAGCGATAGGCAAAGACAATTCACTACCTCCCACGCATTTCCAATGCCGAGAGCGCAACAGCATTTGGTATCTCAGTAAGTAGTGGATTATTCAACTTCTATACTAAATGTTTGGCAACTTATGCGTAGAAGTAAAGGTTCGTTCTGAAACAATTGAGACTGCAACGCTTCCTGATGCTTCTAACACAACCAGTAACACTGGTTCTCTTAATTCTACCAAAATTGTCTCCTGTCGCCTGTGTCAACATTAATCTTTATGGCGATTTCAGCTGCAACTCCTGTTTGCACCCATTAGTCAGAGATAGTGAATGGGTAAAGCACCTCACACACACACTAAGTAATGTTTCAAGCCTAAGGTTGTTCCACATTGATACATATCCAGATCCTCCGTGCCAAAACAGCAATCAATCCTGACATCGTGTCTGTTTGACCACTAGAAAGATCAATTACACGCCTAGAGAGACATGTGTGAGATTGTCCAGGACTTCTAACTCGTCCAGCAAGATCAAGTGTCCAGAATGTCTTTATCAGTATAAGCACATTCGAGCTCAACCCAGGGTTGTTTGCTATAGAAAGGAAGTTAGTTTTGTCGAACGTACTTTTTCCTCCCAGGGAATAGTATCGAAAACAGTTGTGCGAAGTGTCGGCAAGGCTAAACAAACGTTTGCATTCTTTTGTACCGAACATCTCTAATGTGCTATCAAGCTAATGTTTCTTGGTCTCACATCGCCTTACGTTGATGTCCGAATCTGGATGAGCTGTTGCAAATGAGATCTTTCTTGGTATAAAATCATATCTTCCAAGTTGAAAACGCACCCAACAGAGATTAATCTGGACCCATGTGTTCTCCTTTCGTCGTTGATCCGAAACTACCCAGATCCATTGCAATCATGGGCTCAGTCGTCAACCCGGATACTTCAGAATATATTCGAAGAGATTCGCGGGAAATTTAATGCTGAGGCAATTAGAGAAGTAACCTTCACTGGGTGGAGTTGTATATCAGTAAATTATTTGTCCATCACTAATTAAATTGACAAGATGTTACTAAATCCCAAAATGAGAATATCAGTTAAAATGTGGTAAATAGAATTTTCGTTGCCTTGCATAAGTTTAGGTGTGACAAATTTTAAATATTTCAATCGAATAGCCTAATTGCTATTCATGTTTATGTTCAAGTTGTGAGATAGTCACACAATAGGAGATTTTATTTGCCATTTAAATGGCATTTAAGTTCTCACTCACTTCCGTCAAGTCTATGAGATTAGAATTAAAACACGTGACCTTCAGCTTTATGTGTCACCTATTGGCATCTTCACATCGATCTCAACATGCACTTATGTGTTAATTCATTAAATTCGTGGCATTCACATGATCAAGTGCTCTCATAATTTGGCTGAATCTTGAGTATTCAATCGTCCAGCCACCTCTAATGTCACTTTGTCAAGTAATGCCTTTATACAATTGGATTAGAAGGTCATAATTCACCCTGACATTTTCATTATAATGAATGGACGAATGAAATAAAAGATTGCTGAGCTTTGACAACATCAAGGTTGCATATCCTCATTTGATGGAATTTGACAAGTTTAGAAATGTCTTTTAATTTAACTAAGTAATGCTATATTCATTTTGATAAGCAGTTCGAATGGTGCTAGTGTGCTGCTTTTGTCAGGACACGCTCTTCATGCAATTTCCGTTTTTTTTCGGAAATTAGATCTCGATTCCTTATGGCTAATTACATTTTAAAATAACGCAAAGAACTAAAATGCTCATTAAAGTAATATCTTAATTTCAGTTGAAGTCAATTTTTAAAATCATCACTAACTGACTCAAAGTGGATCAGCCTTTTCACAATGAGATCCTAATACAATTTGAAATTGTTAATATTTCAGTAAAGGCATCAGATTTACGCCTTTTAGATGAATTGAAAAAAAAATGCATCCAATTTCATGGTGCCAGAGACAGCCCCTGAGGTTCTACCACGAAGGAATGTAGGGGTGGAATTTTTTATTTCGAAAGTGTATAGGAAACAATGGAGCCTATGTAGAAAAAGGAGTGTAATCACTTGTCAAAGAAATAAATTATGGAATTTGTCGGATATGTTTTTGACTCACTCTCGTATGTATATGTATGCATTTATATCATAACAAATGTTCGTTTTCGTCACTGTTATCTTAAATCCTAATTGGGTGTCGACAATTCCGCCCGATTTTTTGCATATTAATGCCTAATCAGGAAATTATTTTAAACTCGAATTATTCCAAAATTTTAGCCATCCCAGAAGGATGAATAGTTCAGTTCAAAATGATTAAGTTGTCCAGATCACCAAGAGGCACCCACAAGATGTCAGAAGAATCTTGTTTATGAAAGTGGAAGAAAAGTTTTTTCTTTTTCTGCACCCTTATTTTCTACATATAAATCATATTGTTTATCAGGCTAAGGAGGCGGAAAAGGTCACTCAAATAATTCCGCTTTGTAGTTCACAATCATAACATCATTTTTCGACTTTCCATCTGGCATTCTAGAGAGTAAAGAAGCATTTCTCTGTGTTATCTAATACACAAACAGTGAGGAAAATTTTCAGAATGGAAACAATCACAAACGAGCCTGCATCAAGCCATGCTTATCCATTGGCACTTATTATAATAGAAATCTGTTGCGTGAGAACTAGATGCATTGAAGGCAAAGGGTAACGTCGTCACACGATGAGAATTCAGGCAATAAACTTCTGTTCGGTGTCCCAGATCTTTCACAAAATCGCATTCTATGGGGTAGACTGAATTTGAACGTAGGACAGGCACGATAAAAATGGCGTCTTCTTGCAATTATGAAAAAAATCATTAAAAAATGCAGATGAGATTAGGTTTTCGTTCCACTTTCACGGCGATGAATGATGCCATGAACAGGATCTCATGAGGTGAAATTCCAATTTTCATTGTCACTACTTCCTCTCTTTCTCTCTCTGCCTCTGCCTCTTATAACTACTTCTTCACTGTCTGTCCTCTTTTATTTCCAGCCAATGGAAAGGAATTCTACTTCGAAGTCTGTCAGAAAGTGCTTTCCCACCTTTCACTCATCTAAGGAGTGAGGCGTGCAAATACTCCTTTTATTCCAATATTATGATGAATTAAGTAGTGTCTATTAAGACTTGGACAATAACCAATAATAGTTTTAAAGAGATCTATTAGGTGTGAAGCGTTCGTAATGTCCAAAGAGTTGGAGGACTATGATTTTGATTATGACAAATACCTAAACCACCATCATTCAAATAATGAAGATACTGGGGGATTGGAATACATTGGGATGGAAAAGCAGCATGTGAACAAATATTTATTTATTTTCGGAACGAGGATAAACAATGTTTACCATTTTGAGCTTATTCGGTAAACTATGGTATTCACGGATGCCAAATCAATGATATTGTAGCAGAAGGTCAATAATACGCTGCCAAACTGGAAGTCAAAGTGGTNCCTCGAAGTCGTGGCTAAAGATAAGGTGAGATCTTTCACCAAAACTTCACTGAACAATTCAATACTTGTTCACCAATTACTTGTGGCAAGTCATATATCATAGTAGAGAAGACCTAACAACGAAGAAAACGACCTTGCGGAAGATGATAATTGAAGTCCAAGTACATTTTTGTGCTCCGAGTTTACACAATTTGATTTGATAAAGCTGTAATTTGCACTTTTGGCATTTTCTTAAAGGGAGCATTGAGTGAAAACTCATTGACAGTGATGAATTCAATTAACCATTTAATTAAAATAATGATATATTATTCTCCAAGACTTCCATAAATAAATCTTCCCCAGTGGAACAGAGATCTAATGTATCCAAGACAAATCAGATTAAGAGTTTATTCTTAATTATTTATCAAATTGACATATTTGTTTGAATTTGCCTTTAGGGAGTTCTGGAATTTAGGCACAATCTCTTTGGGAGTTCTAAAGTGATAGGAGCGAGATTAGCCCTTTAATCACTGTCTTCATAACACACCATCCTATTCATTAACTGTCATGTCTCCTTTTTCCTACCTTAAGAACTGCGCCTCCTCTTTAGCCTTCTTTGTCCAAAACTTCCATGTGTTAAACCATCATTAATTGAAGGGAAGGTTCGAACTTACTGCGTCACTCATTCTTGAGTTAAAAGTGAAAGTTGAATAAAGTGAGGGTTGTATGAAGTTCGATGAACGCAAACAGCTACTTTCGAATGTTTGAATGAAAGGGTGTTGAAACAATTGCAAAGAAGTTCATAAATATCAACAATCATTTTTAAGATAATATGCAACCTCATCGAACGAGGTAGAGGTGAATTGGGGTGAAGTTGGGGAGACGGTTGAGAGACAAAAAAGTGAATTATCAATCTGATCAAGTTGAGCAAATTCGCATGGAACTCAATAAAAATAGGAGGGTGTGGACGAATTTGGGAAACCATAACACCAACTCCTTAGATGATGGTCGTTCGTTGAGCAGATTATTTACTCCTCGAATTTGTCATTCTCTAATTGAAAACCCCACATTTTCCTCAGTCTCTGAATACTTCTTCCTCTTTTACGCCTTGACAACAATTAGCCAACTCTTGAACCGATGCGTCATATGCTCATTTGCCTATTTTTAGGTGTCATTCGTACTCGCGAGTTCATCACTGCAACTTCACCAAGAAGTTACATGTTCCCCGTCCAGTACAATGACTGCACACCTGCAGGAGTAAATAAAGCTACCGCCATCGTGAACATCCGTGTCATTGAAAGCAATTGCCAACCCAAATGGAACGGTAAGTCCTACATACCGATCTCAATGCATCTTGTAGTTTGAGCTAATAGGTTTAGAGTTCGGCCATGTTGTTATTAGCAAGCAGTGGGAGATCATTAAATCAAGTGTTTACGATTTGTCAATGCGTTTGGTAAAGTGATGATTGGTAGAAACGATTCTTTCCGTCAATTTGCCAAGAGATTTTGACATTTATTCGACCTCTTGATTTCCCCTAGGCCAATTCAATTAGTCTTGCAAATTGTGAATAGTTGTGAGGAAATGTCAAGAGCTCAACAGGCTAAAATATTTGTACTTTCTAGCGTACAAGAGTTCATTTGCCTTCGATGACAGAATTTTTGGCAAATATAGTAAAAAAATCCGTACTTCCGCTTTCACAAATAGGCCACTTCATTTAAATTTCGTCATAGTGTCCTTTTAAGTCAGTTCAATAAAACATTGAATTCTGAGTCAATTTCATTGATTATCTATTACGAAACCGAGGAAATTTCATTGCGAATGTGTTTTGTCAGACAATATTTACCTTTACGTCAGTTTGTACTTCGCATTCTTAGTGTCAAATAAGTTGCAAATTGTTACAGTAGTGTCGTTTTAAGTGAACCTGCGCATTACTGATGCCCATGTGTGTGCGTGCGTGTGTGTGCGCCCGCGTTTAATGTGATCAAAGGAATGTGTGTGACGGCTTCGGAAATCGCTTAGCTGTTTCCACTGTTCTGCTCAATGCCAAATTGCACAGATGTTGGAATAGAAATTGATTGTATGCTTTTTCTACCCAGTTGGATGGTAACTAAGCAAACATCTCTCCAGGTCGGTAGGCAGTATTTAATGCAAGATATCGCCGAATGCCAAGAATTGGAGTAAATTTCACGAATTGAATTAAATCGATGAAATAATAAGTGAATTTTGGAATTTCTTTAGTCGAGACTTAATTAAATCAAACATATAAGAGAGAGAATACCTCCACTGCCATAATTATCTATTATCAATGTTATTTGAAACAAATTAAACTAACAATGTTCCTCTTACTTTTAATGGATGAAGGGAGAAGCTTTTAAATTAGAACAATTCTAACAAAATGCCGTAAAGTAAAATTAACCTTTTATTAAAAATTTAAAAGCTGACACTATAAATAGTAAATTTTTTCACATTTCATTTTTTATTGAAGCAACTGAACTAAGTAAAAGATAAATAATAAATAATGAACTAGATATATGATTTTTAGTTTTATCCCCTATATTAGAGAGATCAATAAAAATTTTTTCAGCTTTATTTTCTGGAAGTTTCTTTCCCTACTCTCCTCTTCCTTTCTTCGCGGTACACACGCACCAACAAACACTTTTATTTGTACTTAACATCTCCATGTCAAAACATGCTTCAAGTTGATGACATAATCCTCATTCTCCGTGGTCTAATCCTCAATTTTACTATTTTTCAATATTTTTGCGATTTTTCTGTCTGTGCATGTGGCAGCTAGAGGGCACCAACCACTTCTGATCTAACCTTGACCTTATACCTTCCAGGTTTGCCCTCAACTCTGTTCTACTCAACGTATGAGCAGCAGCCCAAACGTCTACTCTGGCCTCAAAATTACCACCTGGACATGTGCGGCATGACCTGTGATTCACGCGAGTCACACTTCTATACAGCTGTTACCCTTCGTCATGCCAATCCTTCGCAATTTCTCACTACTGCATCGCCATCTTTCTGTCGACACGATCTGAGGAGTCTTCATGAACAACGCAAGCTTTGTGGTACCTTTTCTCTCGTGTTGAAATCAGATATGCCGTTTGGGGGATGGGGGGGGGG